AGTGGAAACAGTGCCTTATGTGGGAAAAACAAAGCCAAGCATCAGAGTTTCACATAATCCGCAGGCCCTTCTCACTGGGCCCTCTTCAGGGCAGCACATGCTGGCTATGCAGGCTAAAGGGCCAGAGATGCAGGCCAGCAAGTACCCGCCAACCAGGACCTGGCACAAAAGTTACTTTCCCTGAACAGGAGGGCCTGTTCTCCACAAATGTAGAGAAAAGTGCCCAGAGCTTTGCTTGGCTGTATGAAGCTGCACAGAATTAACTCACACATCAACTTCCTTCATTTTGTTATACACTAAATGCTGTTATGAAGCAATAACATACTTCTGGATTAAAATACAACATTTTTGTGAAAACCCGCTACTTGTTTTCATAAAATAGTGTGCTATGATGCTCTAAAACCTCAGTCTGCCTTCTCATAATTTTATGTTTATGACTAGAAAGAAATATAAAGTGATTCCTAAACCAGAAAAAGGAACCCCATCCTCTACAGTGGTAGAATTATCACCAACACATTTCAACAGAGAAAAAAATAAAACCAAGTTTTGATGCATTGAATCTGCTGGATTTTAATAGCTCCAAGTAAGTCTTTTCTTTATGATGGAACAGGACAGATACAGATACTACAGATCTGTAGTACTCAGCAACAGAGCAAGTAACACCTATCTGGTGTGACCTGTCTACTTCTTAGGTGATTTATAATAATTTTTATGTTAAAAGACCGGTTTTAGAAGGAAACATAACTTAAAAAGATCCAAGTGGAGGTCCCAAGAGCTCTGAGAGAAGGGACACATCCCTTGTCTCTGGGACCTTCTGCCCCGGTCCTTCCTTTATAGCCGCTGCCCCTCCTCGTCCTCCTCGTCCTCGTCCAGACTCTCCCCTTCGTCGTCTGACATGCCATTGTCAGACATCTCGTCTTCCTCCCGAGCCAGGAGCTTCTTAAAAACTTCAAACTCCTCAAAAGAAGAATAGGCTGTCCTGGCCAAAAACTCAGCCTCTGAAACTCTGAAGATGTCCTTCAGTAAAGGGTTGGAGATCTGCGTCTGCCCCTTCTTATCAGGGGTTTGGTACCGTCCCAGGCGCTCCAAGTACATGTGTCTCTGCTTAATCTTGGTTATTGAGTACTGTAAGAACTGACTCCTTACTATATCCAGATGCTTAACTCCCATCCTGAAGTACGCATACTGTAAGACACAAACATGTAGGAATCCCAGGTACAGACTCTTAAAACCTATCATTCCACAATCCATAATAAATTAAGTCATCCAGAGTGTTCAGAAAGAACTGCCTGATTAACAACGGCAGAATACCTACTCTGTGATACTGACATTTGCGTTGGCAGTTTCCAAAGCATTTTCAAATTCATACCGAGAAAAATGTAGCAGGACATAAAGGGGCAGGAGGGAGAAGTTACATTTTCTTCAGATAGGGGAAGAAAAACTATGAGAATGGAAAGAATAGGCAAAAAATTCAAACATCTTGGAATTTGATCTACACTGTGATAACTGTTACTAAAAAATTAGGACACTGTCAAAAATCACACTTTCAAAATCAACAGGCAAAATAGATTCTAAAGATAGGAAGGTTTGGGCTAATTTAAAATTAGCTATTTCAAACACAATCCCCATTTAGACTCTAAGAACAGGGCTGGGTTATTCATTATCAACCATTCGGAAAAGTTTCAGAACAGGTTTGATCAGGAGCCAAAAAGTGAAAGAACCAGCACTCAATTCTCTCTGGCCAGTGTATGCAGAAAGAACCCCAGCCTTTCACCTCAACCTCTCAGATGTGAGGTGCCTAAGGCTTCTTATCTACATAGCTGACCCTTATGCTACATGAAAAACTTGTGGTACTATCCCCCATCAGTCATTCCTACCTGGAATTTGTATTCCAATTCACTGGGGTCCACCCGAAGAACACCGGGGCATCTGTGCAAAGTGTCAGTTACTTGCTGTGCTGTGAAGAGGCACTTCTCCTTGAGGACCCGGACAATATCATCGATGTCCCGCTGACGCATGGTGAAAATTTCAGGGTAACTGTGAAGCACCCTCTTTAATTTCCCTGTAGAACATTCAATAAAGGCAAGCACATTTCAGGATATCCCAGAAACCCAAACAGATATTTGCACCTGATTGAAGCCTGCCTTTAAAAAATGAACAAGGATCCTTTCTGTCCACAGAGCAAGTTAACAATCTCAGATATATCCTTCCAGAAGCACCATGAAAATGACATATTTCCCTACTGACTTCATGACACTTCTCAGACTCACTAGCCTTCCCTCCCTCAATTCCTGTTTTTTTCTGGCTTCCCATCTGAAAGGCACCAACTTTGTATTCTAGGTCTCCTCTTGCCCTCCTCACCTAGAAAAGAATTTCACAGAGAATTACTGAAAAGGTAAGACAGTAAGATAGGAGAGTAGCTTCTCTATGTTGGAATTCTGTTGATGCATCCCTCTATGATAAAGTAGTCACTGAAGCATTCATAACCAACATTCTCAAGACAGAGGAGCCTAAACTCAATGAGAAGGACTCCTGTAATAACATAGCCACAAATGCATGGTTACTGCATGACTGCGTATCTTACCTAAACCAGGGCATTCTGAGGAAAGAGGCCCTATTAAGAACTGTGTTGAGATAACTGGTATAGGCTCAGCACCCGTAGCTCAGTGAGTAGGATACCAGCCACATACATGGAGGCTGGCAGATTTGAGCCCAGCCTGGCCTGGACCTGGTAAACAACAATGACAACCGCAACCAAAAATAGCCAGGTGTTATGTCAGGTGCCTGTAGTCCCAGCTACTTGGGAGGCTGAGGCAAGAGAATTGCTCCGGCCCAAGAGTTTGAGGTTGCTGTGAGCTGTGATGCCACAGCACTCTACCCAGGGAGCTAGCTTGAGATTCTGTCTCAAAAAAAAAAAAAAAAAAAAAGGAGTCCTAAACCTTCCCAACCTCCCCCAAAAATACCTTACCAGGAACAGTCAACAATGAAAAGAAATAATAGTGGAACTCTTCTGGTCAAAGTGAGTAGGGGTCCTTGGAGACCCACATGGGTCCCCAACCCCCTTCTTCAGAAGGCTCCTAAAGAGATCCAAGGAATTTTGAAGATCCTTGAGGTATGAACACTGGTGGGGGTAGCTAAAAGGAACGACCATTCTACCAGTTTTCCAGGAACCTGGCAAGATCTCTCATGTTCTGCAATAAATCAAAACACTCAGCTAGAACCTAAGTCTTCATAAGGGATGATGTCGTTGGCTTGACATCATACATAGAAAAAGCACTAATATCACTACAAGTGGACTGAAACATTAAAGTTTATGTACACATATATATCATATGTCAGCATTAATCTACTGTGCACATCCAGGCGCTCATTAGCATTCCAGGTGTTAGAGACCCTACGACGAACAAACCAAACCAGTCTGTCCTGGCACTTAGTCCTCCCTTCTAGTCTTAACGCACCTCCCTTCCCTCTTGCAGTTCATTAGCAGAGGGGGCTCCCTCTTCCTCTCTTCCAAGCCAAATCATACATTCCTCTCTAGCAACAACTGACACCTCCTCAGAACCCTTCCCTAACCCATCTCATCTCAGGTTATCCTTTTCCCAACTGATTTCTCTCATACTACAAAAAATCTGCATCTTCTTGTACCTTCTCCAAGTCCAAGCTTTCGTAGGTATATGGAGCGCTTCTTCACATGCATTACTGACAGTTTCAATAACTGGGGACTTTTCTTCAAGGCCACATACACAGGCTCTGGATTCAGACCCAAAAGTATAAACTCTGAAATGATATCCAGCAAGTGTTGAGGGTTGGCACCAAATTGTACACTGAGCAATTCATTAATATGGGCATCACTGAAACCCATGTCCAGGAGGGAACTGGCAACCTTCTCTACATCCAAGGACCTTCCATCCACAGGTGTCCTCTGTTTCTCAACAAGGTTCATCCTGCATGCTGGTTCCTTCATATACTTAACTGGTCCCACACAGGGTAACTCTTGAAGGTCCCCTCCACTAGAGGCTGTAGTCAGTTTATGTAACAAAGCAGCAGCCATCTTTCTCCCTTCTCCAAGTTGAGGAGATTCTCTAACCACACGGGCCCAGGTTAGGGGGACCAGGCGGTGCCAATCAAGGACCTATAACACACAGGATCAAAAAAGAATCAATTCTTCACCACCCCAGTGTAATGAACACCAGAAGATTTTTTTTTTTTTTT